TACTGTGATAGAATACCTAGTTATACTAGATACTATTATAATATGAATTCATTTGTATTGAATATCGATAATAAAAAATCGATGAAATATTAAAATGAGAATAAATTAATAATGAGATTATAAATTAGAATTATTTCTCTTTTTTTAAAATAAAAACTTAGTTCTATTTAAATTCGATAAAGAAGTACGAAAAAGTTGTATTATACGTATGATGTTGCCCGATGTTTGGTAACAATATTGTAGAATATAAGCATATATGATAGAAAAGCAATATGCTTAATATCGAGTAATTCTAATTTTTTACGAAATTATTCAAATACGTTATTTTTTAAAATGAAAAGATAAGCATACCATTATGCAGTAGTTTGCGCACATATACTATGCTGATGAAAGTTGGTCTCTAATTCGAAACTTGAGTCTGTCAAATTGACGTTCCATCTTATTTTAATCGATATTCAATACAAATGAATTCATATTATAATAGTATCTAGTATAACTAGGTATTCTATCACAGTATTTCTTCAATTTATTATAATATTTCAGCATTTTTTAGTTTCAATGCTGATTTGTTCCTTAGCTTGTAAACTATAGTTACTTTATATCTTTCGGCTATTATCCTATTCAACTTAGACGTAAAAAAATTAAATAACGTATAAATATAATTTAATGGTAAAAGATTAAATGTTTATTCCGTATGTAATGTGATTTGATTTGGATGGTAAGATAAGTTTCGGTATAGTTTTTGTTAATTGATTAAGAATTGTTGAATAAAATTCTGGAACTTCGTCAATTTCTTTGATTCCCTCTTCCTCGCAATACAACTCCATATTATTAACTTGTATTTAAAGGCTTCCATATACAAAACTATATATAATGTTTGAAAGTTAAATCCCATCTTTTTCTATTTCTAAAAAAATTGGCACCTAAACACGAGATAGCTTTCAGAAATTTTCAGGGACATTTTAATCATTTTTTTATTTATTGTAATATCTTTGTTATATAAATTTGAATTGTTTAATATTTGAATGTAAGAGATTGAATAGTAATAATTTTAGTTTTAATACATAGCTAATTGCTAAGCAAAATAATTAATTTATTGTAATTTTGACATGTAAACTAAAGGGGAATTTAGCCGGCCAAATATGTGTCACTTTTTGACTTCACCTCACTTCCACCATTTCGTCTTATGACAACCATTTAGCAAAATTAAATGATTTTACAAAAATCTGTAATGCATGAAAAATAGCATGACTTCATTTTTGACAGTTTACAAATGTAAAGTGTTGCATCCTTAAAAGCTTGGAAATATATAAATTCATGAATTATCTTGTATATTAATTGAAAATCCATAAAACCCTAACAATATTTTTTCTTAAAAAAAAAACTATAAAAATATAAATAAAATTAATCGTTAAATAAAAATATTTGATATTAGAATTTTATTGGAAAAATAAAAAACTTAATATTTTAAAGAAATACTTAAATACTTGAATGTTTTAACTTTTACATTATCATACAGACTCTCAATTTATTGATTGGAAACGGTTTGAGGGTTATCAATTTAAAAAATTGTGAGTTTTTTAGATTTTTGGCAATGAGTTTTAAAAATTTATGAGTGAGAATGTGTGTTGATGCTTGGCACTTTGAAGGGAAGATGTTCTGGGTTCACAATTATTAATAATGTAAAAAATTGCACCCAATTTTTAGCCATTTTGGCTGAGAACTATGGTCTGCGAGGTACATAGATAGAATCAGTACCTCGCAGACTATAGTTCTCTATATGGCGCCGAAAATTTTTTGGTGAAATGTCGTCGCATTTCACCAAAAATTTTTTCGGCGCCATAGGAAGAATTGGAGGGTGTGAGATACTATTACATGCTATAGTACTCACACCCTCCAACTCCCAATCAAAATCGCATAAAATTTGCTACTTATCTTCAGATTACCTCCCATTATAAAATATATCATTGCTATCTCATCGTACTATATTTCCACCCTATTGTATTTAAAAATATAAAATTTTTGATAATATATTTTTATATCTTGAATTTTCAAACAATATATTCACAGATAATATAATGGGAAATCTATCTCAACCTAGCCTTAAAGTACCAAACTCCTGCTTGCATTCTCACTCACAAATATTAAACATCCATCTCCAAAAAACTAAATTCTTCACAATTTTTTTAAAATTGAGAACATAAAAAACGTATGCATTCAATAATTTAAGATACTAACAAATATTAAAAACTTCAAAATATCAGATATTAACGTTTTTTAATTAAAAAAATATCATTTTGCTTTTCAATTCGAACATAAATCTTAAATATTTTTAATTAATATCTGATTTACAGCATTATTATCCATTTATAAATCTGACAAATAAATGACAAAACCATCAGAAATAGTGTCACTTTTTGTCAAAAGTGAAGTCACGCTATTTTTCATGCACAACAATTTTACAAAAATCAAAGAAATAAACTTTTAAGGAAACTTTTCCGTACGGAACATGCTTGACATTCCATTTACTCCAAATGATATTTTCTATAACATCATGAATATTTTTCAATCAATCCCAATGAAGTCAGAAGTGTATCCGATAATTGCATACTATTTATCGGAATGAAAACCAAAGAAAGGAAAAATTGCAAAATTTCCCACTTTTTGAGAGGGACGTTTTGCAAAATAATTTTATTGACAGTTCTGGAAAGTTTCATTTCAGTTTGATAATATATCCAACACATATATAGATAAGATATAAAAACTAAATTTATAAAAAAGTTGCATTTGATATGTTTAGACATAGTAGACAAATATTCCAAACTCATATCTCATATCGAAAATGAACTTTACCAAAAGTGACATTTTGGTGCCAAAAAATTAAAACAATAGTAATATTAGTAAAAATAATAACTCCAATAAATAATAAATAACATATAATATGTAAATTTTATAATTAGGCAATTTTTATATTAAAAGATTTGAATTTTTTAAGAAATATACGAATTGAAGGGTGAGAGGCATATAGGCATACTATACACCTCTCACACTTCAATTCCTACCAGAAAGTTCGAAAACTTGGTCGCAATCAGATGCAATTTTGTTTATATTTATATTTTGTTTTTATATATATATTTTAATTAGTAATATTTAATAAAATTCATTAAATATTATAAATATGATATTAATAACCCATTCGAATTTTGCCGCGCAAAATAAGAGTATGTGTCACTTTTGTCATTTTTTGTAAAGTTCATCTTCGGTACCGAACATACATTTAATAGGTATGCTTGGAATTGATATTATCATAAGACGAAATTATGAAAGTGAACTCAAATCAAAAGTGACAAGGATCTTTTGCCACCAAATAGCATTACATGTCAACATATTAATTTACTTGGCAAAATTTTATATTAATATTCTCATTAAAATATTTCTTATCATATTTTTTAATATTTTAATTATGATCAGTATTAATTGCTATATCCATATTTATAATTATTTTTTTCAATTTTGTGAATCTGTAATTCTTAGACATACAATTATTTTTGATTCAAATGCTGTTCGGCATTAAAAGCAAAAATAATCATATATCTGAGAATTACACTTTTCCGACATTTTTGGGTCGCTTCGCGCCCCTGACTAAACGCCGGAAAAGTGTAAATTTTGTAGCATACGATTATTTTTCCATTGAAAAAAAATCGCCAAAAACATGATATATTTAATCTTTGTTGTGTATTCTTTATATAAATTTTTTTCAATAAAAATAATCGTACACTACAAAATTCCTTAGATTCACCTCTGAATTCCGCATGATAATTTTGTAGCATATTTATAATAATATATTTTTAGGTGATAAAATTTACATCATATAATAGTATATTTTTAGGTGATAAAATTGTATCTCACAAATTATTTACTGTTTATTTCAATATTTCCACATATTTTATGAGCAAGAAAGTATTCGACATCATTTATTAAAAAATAAATAGTAAATCCATATCTTTTATTATATGAATAAAAAGTATATATTAATATAAGATATCTATAAGAAAATGAGTACAAACAGACAAACTTTTTTCGATATAAATTATATTTTCTCAAAAAATAGCTCAAACTCATAAAACACACTATAAAATAAAATAATTCACGAAATATATTCAAAATACACCCAAATAATATAAGCTTATGGGTAATGTGCTGATTGCATTTTAATCACACCTCAAAACTAACTCAACAAGCCTCAATCTTTTATCATATATTTGTACATATATATAGATATTATTCATAGATATTATAAGCTCATAACACACCACCCTCACAAGATATAATAAAAATTGAATGCTTTTGATGTGCTCCAAATACAAAATTTTTTAATAGTTAATATTGAGCCTATCTGAATGTACCACATAATATTACGAATAGTTATATATTTATATATTCAGCAAAGTTTAGAATAGAGTTAATAATCATAAAATTTGTAGCATCAAGGTTTTCTCAAGAAAACGTCACTTTTCACACTTGATGTGAAAATAGCTCAACAATTTATAAACCTTATTTAATATTCATTGTATATTATTTTGTCATCTATATAACTAATTACATTCATCATACTTTTATACCATTATATGCATTAACTATTTTAATAATTTCATTGATATTATTAGACCTTTTCGCAAAAATAAAAGTTTGTCTGGATAATATCCACTTTTTAGCGATAAAATATAATTTATCGCAACAATCTTTTATTTTTGCTATAATAAAAATTTTTTGTGATAAAAATTTTTTAGCGATAATTGAAATTTTTAGCGATAATATTTTTTAAGCGATAATCTATTCAAAATTTCGATAATATACAAATTTAGCGATATTCTTTCATTTCACGATATATATAATTGAATACTTTATGTAATATTAATTTAGAGTATTATAAATAAAACTAATATATTAGGCCTAGATATGATAATGTAGTTAATTAAATAAATATATGATAATTTTTATTAACTTCTTTGTCCTCTTCCTCTTGCTGCATTATTCTCTCCTCCATCTATATTATGTTCAATAGCAGGTTGAGCTGGAGGATATCCTGCATATGCAGGTGGCTGTGGATATACGGCTGGTGGAATACGTTCTGGTTGTGGAACATCTGGAACAGCATTCAATGGTCGATTGCGTTGAACTTCTTGAATTTGAATTGGTGCTTGTGGGGCATCAACTTCCGCTTGCTGAGCTGCTGCTTGCTGAGCCAAAAGCTCTTGTTGAGCATTAAAATCAATAATAAGCTGCTGAACAATTTGATGAATATCTGGTTCATCATCTCCTTGAGGGGGTGCATCCAATTCATTTGCTTGTTCAGCTCTTATTATGGCACGCATGATTTGATCTCAAGGCATGTATCCAGGATCATCGAGCAGTGTATTGATATCAAATACTTGATCATCACTCCTTAATGGATGCCCAAACCTGATATGAAATTTGTCAAAGCAGCCCATAAATCGAAGACTCTATCATAGGTGGAAAGATCAAGCCTGTAAACTTGATGCATGATACTCCATAATGTCTTCATCCTGCCGAAATAATTTTCGACGATGATACAATGCTTTGAGTGAACATGATTATCGCTCTTTTGTTGTTCGGTTAGATCCCCATTCTTTGGTCTTTTGTGTGGGATGATTGATTGAGGATAATCATTTGCTAAACCCAAGTATCCAAGGTCTCCGAGTACAACAGGTTTTCCGCCAAGTACACGTTCATATGCATTCGCTTCGGCAGTGATTCGTTCGATCAATCCGGATTGACGACAGAGTGTAAGGTCATGGATTGATCCGGGTTCTGAAACAGATCTGTGCATCAAGAATTCCTGTGGTGAAACAAAGCAGCTAACTTTCAACGTATGGCACTTGTGCTTACCGTCAAAGTATTGTTGTTGATCTGACGGAATTTCAATTTTTTGACATGTAGCATCAACAATGCCGAGTAACAGTGGAAAATCCTGGATCACAATACGGCGGGCAATTCTTGATTGAACAGTTTCCCAAGTAATTAAAGCATCTCTAAGCGGTTGATGAATTGCCATTATTGTTTCAGCAATTACATCATGTAAATATGAATATGTAATACCATACATTTTTTGCCATTGGTTTGAGAGGTTCATTGTATTTAAGGTAATTCAAAACCATGTGTAGTTTATCCTTTGGTGTAACCATTGAATCTCTGAGGTGATGTCTCTCTAGTGGAGTTTGTACAATTTTGTAGAGTGCATTGAATTCCTGTTGAGTGAAATTTGTCATGAGTTTGAAGTCTCGTGATGGACGAGTTTCGATATCTTCATATCTAATCTTAAGCATCTTTTTTGGATCTGGTCTTTCTATCTCGATGATTTCTGGGTGGACCTGGTATAAATGTTCTTCGTTCCTTTCATCAAAGTGCTGAATTATTTCATCCATTTTTTTGATATTATAACGTTTTTATTATTATTTTATTTTAAAATATAACGCTTATGTATATTTTTGATAAAAATATGTATATAATTAATAATATTACAATATTTTTAATAAATAATGAAAAAATAATTTCACGGGCGTGAATCAATATATTTTTAAGGCAAACCCAAATTTTAGCTAAAAGTGACAGGGAAAAAACGTTTAGTATTAAAAAAAAGACCGATGAGAGCTTCGTTCGAAATATAGAGGGAACTGAGAATGCGCAACCATTCTCAGGGAATATTGGATGCTATTCCCGTTCCCTCTGTATGGAAAATTGAGGTTTTCAAAGGGAGTTAAAATAATATCAAATTTATACTAATTTACTTCAAAATACAAAAGTATTTGACAGCTAAAATTAGTTACTTTAGCAAGCCTATCAATACCCTTTTACGATTATTGCTACTTTTTCGAAATAAAATAAATTTATTATCAAAAACCCTTTTTTCTTAGTAAAAATAAACGAAATTTTTTACCTTATGAACATTTGATGGAAATATGCAAATTTAAAATAATAAAGAAAGCCGCGAGCGAAGCGATCGGCTTAGTTCGAAGATTTTGATTCAAATCTTTGCTGATCTGTAATTCGCGGAAGCCGCGAGCGAATCGAGCGGCTTAGGTCTAAGATTTTGATTCAAATCTTTGCTTATATTCCTTAAATTATTTATGAAACTCGCAACAGTTCCATAAAAAATTTTAAATTCTAAACTGTCGAAATTACCGATCGGTAATCACACCCTTCATGGGTGTGTCATTTTTTACAGGCGTGTCACTTTTAGCTAAAATTACCCCTACTCGTACATACGCCAATCTGACATTAACTCAAATTTCTGAAAAAAGGTTATAGATACATTTAAAATTAGTACCATTTGATATATGAATAAATCCAAGCTAAATATAACATTTTACAGATATTAAAATAATATAAATAAATAATTATATCTATCCAATATATAAATGCATTCAATTTTAGCGATATTCTTCTTAATTTATCGACAATCTATTGAATTTATCGACAATCTTTTTACCGACAATCTAATTTAGTTTACATTTTGTAAACTCTACATTTTAGCGAAAATCTGACATTTTTACGATAACTTTTAATTTTAGCGATAATCTCCCCTTTTTAGCGATAATATCGATATTATCGCTAAAACGGGTATATTATCCAGACAAACTTTTATTTTTCCGAAAAGGTCTATTAAAAATTTAATCATATCAAAAATCTTCTATGAACAAAATTTTATTTACCTATTATCTGAAAGTCTAATATTGATAAAACATTAGTATATCTAATACTGTGTAATAAACAGAAATTCATCAAAAGTGACAGCTCTCAATTTTTTGACATTTGTAAATTCTAAATTGAATGAGAAAAATGAAATAATACTAAGCATAATACAATATTCTAGATTTAATTATAATTAGGAAAAAGTTAGTTTTGAGAGTACTTTTCATAGGCATATAGAATGAAATCTTCTGAAAAATAATATCACATAAACTCATATTATTTTCTAATATATAACTATTTTATATAAAAATCAAATTCAATGATCTTAAAAGCGAAGGATAAACCTCAAAATTTACGAATATAATGAGTGTGAATATAATGCTTATCTATCATAAAACCATATGAAATATCAATTTTTGCTTTACGCCTAATTTTTGACGACAATTAGCAAAAAATGTTAAATGTTAACACTCAGTCCATTTGAATATGAAAAATAAAATTGACTTTGATTAAATGTTTTTATTTATCATGCAATTCTTCTTGCGACCAAAGATTTGAATAAAATTTCAAAAAATAAGATAGCTTAAAAAATAATATACGGTAGTGTTTACTAATAGATGAATAGTATATATATTCTATTAAAATGGATTTAATCCAAAAAATATATAAAATTTGATCATAAATAAAATTGTTTAGTAGTCATTTAAAATGATGTAATTATTCAAATTTTGCTAAGACCCATTCGTCTTTGATATATAACTCCCATTTTTGCATTTCTGGCTCGTACCAAAATTTTGAAACTTCGAATAATTCGTTAGGAGTGTAATTACTATTCGTTTTTGGATTAATATCGAGAGATAAATGTGGTGTATTGTTAAATTTTTCAATGAACTGCTGAACTGAGTCCTTGATTTGTTGAATATCATCCAACTCGTCTGGCAAAAACTTTTCTAAGCTTGGCCACAGGCGCTCCACCTTGCCGTTCTGTCTTGGCATATACGGCAAGGTGTGCTTCCAAACCATTCCGTTTTCCTGCATAACCTGGCCGAATTCACCGCGGTTTTCACCGCCATTATCGGTCCAGATGCAGTAAGGAATAAACTCCTCTAAAAGTTTTCTTAAAACCTTCGCTGTTGAGTTGGAAGACTTGTTTTTCAATAATTTAGTTTTGAGAACTTTACGTGTCATATCATCCAATATGGCAAAAAATGGAAAAGAAACATTACCGTGAAGGTAATGAATATCGCAGTGCCATATCAAATTCTTTGATATGGCACGATATTTGGTAGGTGGATCTGCTGGTTTGTAATCTCTTTTTGAAGATAAAACCATTCATCAAATTTTTCCACTTGATGATGCTTTATTTTTTGTAAATTGCCAAAAATTTGATCTTTTGTCAAATCTTGTATATTTTCAAATTCTTTTGCAATTTCTTCTTTTTCTTTATCACAATCGGGATTTTGAGCAATATTTTGAAACCTTTTAATCAATAAATAAGTTTTTGAAATTCCTCCTTTATATTGTGAAACACAAGAATTAATTAATTGTTTTTGCTCAAATGTTGGTGGATTTGGTTTTCTGCCGCGACTAACTTTTGGTAATTCGATTTCTTGAAGTTGAAATGCTCTTCTTATTGTATTTTCGGCAACATTCAATTTATTTTTACCATTTTCCAATTCAACTTCCTTTCCCACACTTTTGTAAGATTCACCTTCTTCTATTCTTCTTTTAGCTTCAAATAGCCATTCTCTGCTTGTAGATTTGGCAGTAGTCATAAAAGTGGTCCTTCTTTTGTGAGAAGATTCAAATTTGAATGTGGATGATAAATAAAAATCAAAAATAATTGTTATAATTTAAATGAAGAAGTAATTTAAAACGATTTTATTTATGATCAAATTTTATATATTTTTGGATCAAATCCATTTTAATAGAATATATATACTATTCATCTATTAGTAAACACTACCGTATATTATTTTTTAAGCTATCTTATTTTTTGAAATTTTATTCAAATCTTTGGTCGCAAGAAGAATTGCATGATAAATAAAAACATTTAATCAAAGTCAATTTTATTTTTCATATTCAAATGGACTGAGTGTTAACATTTAACATTTTTTGCTAATTGTCGCCAGAGTAGGGGTAATTTTAGCTAAAAGTGACACACATGTAAAAAGTGACACACCCTTCACTCATATATATTAAATATTTGCTCAGCTTGATAACCACTAAAACCAAAGAAATTCTAACTTCTGATTTCTCCCATATAAATGTATTTTTTTCCAAAAAAATTAATAATAACACATCCAATATTGATTAACACTCCATTCTGTTATCATTACAATAAGAGACATAAATATACAAATACGATTTAATAGTGTTAATTTGATTTACACACTTTTTTAAAAATGCAAATATCTTGATATTACATTATATTCGATATTAACATACAATTATATTCAATAAATAGCGAAATTTGGAATAAGTATCTAGTTTAAAACAAATGAAATTGCATTATCCATTATGACCTTGTGAGGATATAATTTAATTTCGGCAAATGGTATTGACCATTGTTTTGTTCGGGAGTACTTCCCAATAAACAAGAAATCTTGTGCGATCGTCGATAAAACCAATGAGATATTTAATTTCATTGTTTTCATCGCGAAATTGCTTAAGATCTGTATGCCAAAGTTGATTGGCATATTGTGCCACATAATTATAAAGTGTTATTCTTTTTCTTTTCTTTATTGAAATTAAATAAATTTTCTTTTTCAAAAATTTTTTGAACACCCCTAACTGTTATTTCTGGAATTTCATTTCGAATTATTTCTTTTGTTCTATGATATCCAATTTGACTTTTTGCCCTCTCAATTAAATCTCTTAAATAAATTTCATCGTTTTCTTCTTTTTGGGGTCTTCCATTTGTTCTCATTGGTAAATGAAAATGTTCAAAAATTATTGGAACATTTGAATAACATGTATTTAAAAATTTTGCTACATCTCTCTGTGAATACCTTCTTAATGAGTATTATTGATGATGCAGATCGAGAATAAACTCTTCTGTGAACCGTAGTCCAAGTTTAATGTTCTGAATCTGGATTCCTCTGTCCATTTGCAGCAAAATAAAAAATTCAGAGTTCCTCACAATTAATCATTTCAATTTTTAATTTTTCTGAGAACTAAATATAAAATGCACAATTCAATTTTTTTATACATTAATCGAATTTTTTGATAAATCTGATAATTTGAAATATTGGAAGTCATTTTAATAAAATAATTTCTGATTGGATTCAATATGATATTCTCAAAATCTTATATGAAATCGCAGAAATTGTATTAAATACAAATCTTATATTAATCTCAAATGTTTTCGGATGGAATATTTGGATTAAGTAAATTTGGATTCATGATATGAGTTATATTAAACATTGGTAATAGAATTAAATTAGAATATAATAAAAAGAATATTTTGACACTTTACAATAACCTCTTTTTGGTAAAATTTGAAAAAATCAAATAAATATAAAAATATGTTAATATTCCTATAAAAATTCTATAATTAAGAAAACAATCGATTATATCACCGAAAGATTTTGTACCAAATGTCATTTTTATTAAAATCCCTTTTCGGTATGAGATAAATAGCCAAACAGACAGCATACAAAACGGCTGTTGTAAATGTTCCATTGACGTCGGGACACATCAGGCCCCACATCGACCACAAGACATTCAAAAAGGCGGTGATGCCTTATATCTACAAGAACGACCAAGAGTTTCTTCACTTGAAAAATAACAGTTCTATCTAATTCTATAAGGGAAACAAGTTCTCAAAGTATACTCCATTAAAACGTATGTAACTCTTTATATAGCGAGGATAGAAAGGAGTTTATCCGGACTCATTTATTCTATCGTCGCTTCTCTACATTTTATCAAGTATAACTACCACGTTAAAACATCTCTGTCAAAATTTTAATGAGAGTTGATTTTTCTATACACTTTTGAGACTGATTCACAAAAAATCTCACAAAAAATTATAGGCTAGACACATTATATAATTTATTATATATGGGTTTTTATGTTTTTAATAATTTAACATTTCAATGATATTCAATTTTTCTTAATATGCTTCTCAAAATTAAAAATCATGAAATCAAAAAAATTCGAGTTAATGACATTCAGGGATAGAATGATGGAAGTGAACTGATATGAAAAGTGATATGAAATATTTGACGTCCAAATAAATTTACAAAGGCATAAATTAACATTACTTATCAACCTATCTTTATATATTTTCCTAATTAAAAAATAATTTTTTAATTAAAAAGTTTCCAGAGATATATGATTATCAAATAATATTAATTACTGTTGCATGCTAAGTAGTGTCAACTATATTAATTGATAATATATTAATCTTCGAGGAAGTACGATTATTTTTTGGGCAAAAAAGTATCTCAAATCTTCGAGGCACCAGTCTAGAACTGGCTCTTCGCAGGGTTTAATTTCTCTTGACAAATAACAAAACTTGTTCGCAATTGTGAATCATTGCGTGCAAGTTTGCCAGATATCTGGAAGGAATTGCTCTTTATGATATATGCATTGTAACTGCATATATCATAAAGAGCAATTCCTTCAATTGAACGCAAAAACTTTGGTGCAATCGTTGCTGATTGCACCATAGTTTTTGAACTTTCCAGAGTGAATTGGAGGGTGAGAGATACAAAGTCTATCTATGCATCTCGCACCATCCAATTCCCACTCTAAATGGGAGAAACTTTGTTCGCATGTTATCTTATTCAGACAAAATTTTCCAGCTTTATGTATTCCATCTGTAGAACATTCAAAGTCAGCAAAGAAAACGTGTTCGTAAATAAATTTATGTTTTGCTTCGTTTGTATCTTTGCTTTCTGGTTTCTTTTTTAATTGAACACAGTATTTGGGCGAGTATGTTAAATCCGTAAATGGTGCTAAATCTTGTTTGTATAAATCCGTAGAATATGTGAAAAGTTCTCCATATGAAATTGGTTCAAAATAATTGCAATTCCATAATGTTTTCAAAATATCCCACAAAGGAGTTGTTCTTGAAGAGTTAATAACGAATTTATTTTCTCTTTTCTTGTATATTTTCATTTGTTTTTCAATATTCCATCCTCCACAAACTTTAAGAATTTCATTATAATTTTTAATGAAATAAGTTGTCATTGGTAACCTTTCATTTAACATGTAATGGTCGTCTACTAAAAGTAGTTCAATGGTTTGTTTTATTTCACCATTTGCTGGCATATGTGTTATTGTTTTATTATTTTTAGATTCGGTGAAATAACCAACTTTTATATGAAATTCTAAATTTGTTGCGTCAGAAATTTCCTGTAATTTATTTTGTGGAAAATCTCTAGTACGAATTATTTCTCTCATGTGGTCAATAATTTCTTCTTCAACTCCTGCTTTTATGCAAGCATAAACGAAACAATTGTCTTCTGTCATTAATTTGGCAGTTCTTTTATCTAATTCATTAAATATTTGATATCTTTCTAAATTTATTGGTAATCTGCAAATATATTTCCAAAATTGTCCACTACGTTTCTTATATAATTTTTTATTTCCATAATGCTCTTGCCAGAAACTGTCTATTGCATCTTCAGCTCCTGTTTGTTTTATTGCATTTAAAATTTTTTGTTACCTTTCTGACAATTCGCTTTCATCCCTTGCTTTTCTTGCTTTTGGAGTTCCTTTTTTAATGTCATTCATTGTTAAACCTTCATATTCTGTTAAATCGTACATTTTTATTTCACTTAGATTTCGAATATGAGTTAAGAAAAAGTCATAATGTAATTCTAAAACTCCTGCCGTCTCCGCCTCCTTCGCTTGGATGAAATTTTCTGATTTAAGTCGGTGTAGTAATGTACCAATGTTTCTAATGTTTAATGTAGAACATTCATACTTTCCACCAAGTTTATAACATACCATCCATCTTTGCGAAGAATTAATTTTGATTTTATCTAAAAGTCTCATGAAAAATTTACCAAAATGTTTATGTAAATAGTCTCTATTTTGTTCATCTAATTCTTCAATATTAAATTCAATAACTCTATTTCCAGATTTATCATTTTTCTTTTTATTTATTTCATCTTTCTTTAACCATTTTTCTCCTTCATTTGGTTTGTTGTTTATTGAACGTATAACGTCATTTGCTTTGCGGAGTTGTTCTATTCCACTTTTAAACATTTCTCTTCTTTGTTGTTTTAAGTTTTCATCTCTTGTTCTTGTTTCACCAATGTTTGAATTTGTAATTTCATACATTTCTCTACAAATTTTATGAGGAACCTGTTGTGTTTTATATAAACCAACTTCCATATTCTTCATTGGAAATGTTTTTGTATGAATGTATTCCCGAATTCTTTTGAAATTAATTGTACCATTGTAGTCTTTTATGAAATCCGCTAATGTTTTCTTGTTTGTTGCGTAATTCTTTGCTACATCCAATTGGGCTTCATTTAGAAGCTGTTTTATTTCAGAATGTTGAAGCTTATTTGACAACTTCTTATACATCCCTTTTATAAAAATAAAAATAAATTAAATTTAAAAAATTAAGTTTAATTTTTAATTTATTTATTTTTTAATTTATTTATTTTTTTTATTTTGTATAAAAGAAATGCAAAACAGCAAATTCTATTCATATAATTCCTTCGCAACTTCTATTAAAGATGAATTTAGTAATGCAATAAATGTTAATGTTATATTTAATAAAAAATTCTTGAAAGAATCTAAATTTGGTCAATACGTAAAACCTTTAGCAATTATTATTGACAGAAAAAGATATTCCGCTAATGAGTTAGCAATATTGTTAAAACAAAAAGGTTTGTTCATTAATGTCAAAGACACTCATTATACAATTATAAATAATTCAAATGCAGAATTTTTCAGTATTGCTTTAAATTTATCTGAACAAAAAGAATATAAGAAGAGTATATAAGAATTTCCGAAAAAGCGACACTCAAAAAGTGACCCTTTCAATAGGGAGTAACACTTAAAAAGTGACAATTTAAAATTCACAATAAATAAAAATAATAAATTTTTTAGTCTATTAAATTATTCTTTTCTTTGAAATCCTCCAAAAATTCTTCGAAATGTTCTAAAATATAACCTGGAGAATTATAACAAAATTCATTAATTTCTAACATATACGTATCTAACAATTCATTTGAAATTTCAAACGATCTTAAATATGTAATTGAATTTTGTATCTTCTCATTTATTTGAGAAAGTTTTTCTTCAGCATTTTCCAATAAAAATCTTAATGGATTCAAATTGGCTTCTTGATTCTGAACAAAATTTAATACTTGGTATAAACGTGATTGAACTTCTCTTTTCAATTTTGTTTTATAATCTGTCAATCGAGGCTCGCGAATTCTAATTGAAGGAATAAAACCTGTTTGAAGTAAATCGTTTTTAATACGATAAAAGTAATTGGGTGCAACTTCTTCTAAAAGATTTTTGACAAAAACATCAATTCTTTGATTTTTAACGCAGCCAAAATCGTGATATTTTATCTTTTTAAATAAAGATTCAGAAACGTTATTCACAACGGTTAATTCATTTGGTCTGGCAGCGGCTATCCACTGTTGTTTATGAATGTCCCACTGACGTGTAAAGTATTGATTAAATTCCAATTGATCTTGAATTTTATCAATAATGTGCTCTTTATACATTTTTGCAGCATCTTCTTCTGTGCAATCACGATAATAACATAAAATGTTCATAAATTTTTCGACTTCTGATCTAATCTCTTCATCATTTATCTTTGAGAGATTCTTTTTAAGTGCGCGTATTACATGTAGCGCGCACCAAAAGATATTGCACTCCGGAAATGAATTCCTAATCCCGTTGAAAATGTTTAGTGCACAGTCAGACATGATAAATTCAGGTTCTGTGTGAGTTGTTTCAAAATATTTACTTAAGCAAAAAGAAATATTTTCACTATTATCTGGATATATTATAAAATAACACAAAGGGATAGAATGAGTATTAGCAAATTTGGTAGCTAATACATAAAAAGGAAATCCATGAATAATTAATTTAAACGTAGAGTCTAAGTGATAAATTGGTGGTTTTTCATGAATTTGAGAGATCATATCATTATCAGAGTAAATAAAAACCAATTTGTCTGGAAAATCAGTATCTTCACCTTGAATGTCAAAATAAATAAGGTCATCATGTTGATCTTCCCATTGATTAACATAGTTTTGTAAAGATTGAAATTGATTTAAAGATATGTCTGGTAAAGATCTCATAAGATCTTTTTGTTGTAAATAATATTTCAATTGATTGATTGCAGTTTGTTTCATAGTCATGTGAATACAAGTATGATCTTTAGGTATTTCAAGCGTTTTGTTGACTTCTTGTGTTGCATTAAGTGGACTTCCGTGATTCATGAGAAATTTTTTAATCCAAGCACGGTAAGTACCACTTGTAGGTGTATTTTTATGTTGTGGTGGTGGTCCTGAGTGAATATGAGTTAAGTTTGCAGATTTAAAAATGTAATTGTCGAAATTTTTAATAAATTTAAAGCCTGCTGGGCAGCCTTCGTATTCGCATCGGTGGTAGATTAATACTCCTGTTCCAATTGATAGTTTTTGTGGGTCTTTGACAAATCTTATGTTACCATGCAGCTCTGCAGCTATAACAAAACGAGAATATTCTAAATATCCTATGGCTTGATCAACCTCGCATGGAGGATCGGGTGGAGGATGTTGCATTGAGCAGCAAAAAGGAAAAATAAAATTGAAAACTCACATTGAAAAAATAACGGTTTAATAGAAAATATTTTTTTTCTTCTGAAAAAGAATTATCTTTGAGTATCTAAATTGGGATAAAGGATATAGAATAGATAACTAGTACTTAATATATTGATACATGTACACGAAATGGAAGAATGTGTACTAAAAGAAAGAGAAATTTTAGCTTAATATTTTACATACGAATCAATTATCTTTGGTTAAAAGGTAGAATTGTTGGCTATGATGTACTGATTCATGATCAGTACATCATAGCCAACAATTCCTTATACAAAATTCAAAAACTTGGGTGCAATCAGTTCTGATTGCACCCAAGTTTTTGAACTTTCTTGAGGGAATGGAAGAGTAAGAGGTATACATTATGAATATATACCTCTTACCCTTCCATTCCCTCTCTGACAGCGGGAAACTTTGTCTGAAAGTTAAACTATTCAGACAAAGTTTCCCGCTGTCAGCGAAAGAATTGTTCCATCTGGTGCATAGAGTGTGAATCTATGCACCAAATGGAGCAAGTCCCTCGCGAAATTGCCAAAACTTGCGTCGCATTTCAAAGATTGCGACCCAAATTTTGGCGATTTCTAGTAGAGATGGAGTATTTTGAGTCACTGACCTATATGCAGTGGCTCAAAGGGCTCCATCTCTACTTTGAAGCAAGGAAACTTTCCTCGAAATTTTGATAATTTGAAGAAAGTTTTCAAGCAATTAACAAAGGATTACTCGCTATGAGGTAAAAATTCTAGATTTTCACCTCATAGCGAGAGCTTCCCTTTCATTGCTTGAAAACTTTCCCCAGCTTCAAAATTGGGGAAAGGGCTGTAAAGTCGACTCCGATACCAGCAGGTACCAGAGTATTTAAAAGAGAAGCCCTCGTACGAGTTTCTATCAAGACCTTCTCATTCAAGAAGATCTTAATAGAAAATCGTACGAGGGCATTGGAAACTCGCGTCTGGTACATGTTGGTACCAGAGTGTTTGAGATTTGAAGACTTTGGTACTAACATGTACCAGAATTTATGATGAATTTAAGATGGACCATTATAAAATGGTAGCGGTTTGTTTCAAAAAAATTTAGATGAGATTTGCATAGATATAGATTATATGATTTATACATATGAAAAATAATATATAAAAATATAATTTTGAGATAATTATGTAAATAATATTTTAAATATTTGAATTTGAGGTATAATTTTATAGTAAAATATATTATAAAGAGTATTTATATAAATAATATAAAATAATATAAGTAATAAAAATTGAGACCCCCTCCCTGTTTTTGATGTTTTGTCACTTTTTCGGTAATTCTTATTGTTTCCATTATACAATTATAAATAATTCAAATGCAGAAATTTTCAGTATTGCTTTAAATTTATCTGAACAAAAAGAATATAAGAAAGGAGAAACAGTATTTAAATATTACCCTTCATCTCTGAAGACAATTACGAATAAAAATATTATAAAAAATTCATACCAAAAGTTGAAGAAGCAAATATTGAATTTGATGAAGATGGTAGTGAAATGGTTGAAGAAATTGACCCAGAAGTTTTATTAAAAAAATAAATTTATTTTTATGTCATTGACTGACTGACCGACCTATTAAATCTTTTAAAATTGTTTCATAAGTATTTATTAAACATTGTTTAAATACATTTTCTATATTATTTATTTTTTCTTGAGTTAGTTTTTGAAGTTCAGAATCCAAGTCAACTCATTTATTTCCTTTAAATTTAAAAGTATAATTTCTAAGGAAACATTGATATCTGTCATATTCTTCTAATTCGTATTGAATTACTATTTCTCTATTTTCAATAAAAATTTTCAAAATACTTTTAACATTATTTTCTGGAGCAATAAATTCATTTATTAAATAATTTTCGAATGTAGTGAAAAATTTACTCATTTTTAAATATGTTAAAAAATCTTTTTATTTGGAAATTAAATTAGTTATTTAATGCATTAGTACAGTCAGTCAGTCATTGACTGTTTCAAAAATTTTTGGGATGTCAGAAAAAGTGAAAAATTAAATTTGTGTCAAATGTTGTTGTTTAGTGTTTAGAATGTTTTGGTACCATTCCAAGTTGGAAACCCTGTTGTTCTTGTTGTTTCCATCAATGTGCTTAACTCTTGTCTTCTTTTGTGGGTTTTGGACCCATTGAGAGGCAACAATTTTTCCCATTGAAGCGGTACCAAACTTGGTAAGGTTGAGGTTGTAGTGTCCAACATTGTTGAGGAAAGGTTTGAGAACCTTTTTTGTTGTTTTATTGCGAACTCTGTAAGGGTAATTCGAAGAAATTTCGTAAGTGTTGTCAAGCTTGAGTTCTTCCCAAGTTTCAACAATGTCTCTCTTTTCTTCTTCCTCTTCTTGTTCCTCTTCTTCCGTAATTGCAATTTGTGCAATTTCTTCTTCTTCCTCTTCTTCCATTGCTTCTTCCATCTCTTTTCTCTTTTTCTCTTCAATTGCAACTTGGTTTGGGATTTGAATCTTAAGAGCTTCACGGATTTCATCAATATCACAGTAGAACATTTGAACCATTTGGACAAGTTGTGGAACAACTTTTTCGAGGTGACTAACTTTCTCCATAAGTGTAAGCAATTCTTTTTGTGTGTCAACCTTTAATATTTGAAGTGAAATCTTTATTTCTTCCTTCAAGTTTGCCATCTGGTCTGCAAATGTGAGCCTACTGAACCTGGATTTGGTCTGGAAGCCCTGTACTGTTTTTTCGAGCTCGCTAACTTGTTCCGACATTAGGAAAAATGAAATGGTCCAACCTATTGAAAAAGTGGATTTTAAAAAACCGCTGTCAAAAATTTTATTGTCAAAAGTCAAGAAAATAAAAAAATGGTTAAATTATTAGAATTAATTATTTATTTCCTTAAGAATATTAGCTACTTCATCTGGTGGAGGTTGTTCGTAAGTTTCTTCAAGCGTTCCATCCAAATTTACAAGCAAATTTGTTCCTTTATTTTGTAAAAGCTGCCTGTAAATGTGGAATGTTTTTAATAATGAGGCGAAAGGGACGGAAAGGTCCAAATCCAACCATGGGTGTCGCTTAATAAATTTAATTATGGTATCTCTTTTCGAGTCCATAATATCTTTTTCTTCTTTGAGCTCGCTATCGAAATCAAATATAACACCAGCAAGTGACTCCAGTCTGGAAATCTGGCGCTTGGACAGTCTTGTTAAAAGAATTTCTCTTTTAGTTCCTAAAGACTCCAGGAGGTATTCGGAGATGTCTTGGTTCAATTCAATCTGACATAAGGGATGTTGTGCAGACATTGGTTATGCACGACACAAAATATTTTGGATGTTACAAACGGTTTGAATCTGAAACATACAAAAGCCATTTATGGCTAACTTTTTCAATATGCGTTAATAAATCTCAGGCGGTTAAGACCAAAATTTTATTGCAAATATAGTATCGGAATAGCATTTATATCTCATATATTAAAGTTTAAAAAAACACGTTTGAGTTCCTAACAATTTGTGTGCGACTTCACAAAAAATATGTATTCCTCACAAAAAGTATTTGTTTTTCACAAAGCTTTTGATGTCCAACGAAAGTATGTCTCTCCCACAATGGTCTGTTCCACCAGAACTCTTTCGAGAGTTCCAAGAATTTATGGTCTTCAAACAATTCCAATATGCAACTTTACCAATGAGACCAAAAGATTCAAAATTGGAAGAAGGACTTAATATATTACGCAATGCCTACATAAGAGAGAAAAGAACCATTACCGGAAAAGATGAAGAATATGACTCTCTCGAAGAATGTGAAATTAATTCTACAAGTTCCACAAAAACAAATGGAGAAGAAAAGGAAGGAGAAGAATACCTTACTAAAGAACAAAGACTTTATGTTCTTGAATCTTATTCATATGAAACACTTAAGCATATGAAGAATTGGAAAAATAAATCTGCAAAAGGAAAAGACAAACGCGAAGTTCTCAAGAATGCAGTTCTTTTGGTAAAAACAAAAACGCAACTCATTGATTTCATTCTTAGTTCTTTACCATAAGGAATAAAAAATCCAAATTTAGTTTTCTTGACTTTTGACAAAATTTTTAAAATTTTTTTAAAAATTTTCCTGTCTTATGGAAAAATTAATTTATATCTCTTTTGGTATTAGTTGTATAGGTCAGTCAGTCAGTCAGTCAATGAAGACAACTGTTCTAAGCTATTTCATAAAGTCTATTTAAATTAAATTTCATAATTTTAGACAGAGTTAATATTCTCTTATATATGTGTAATAGTTATTTTAAAACTAATTTAATATTTCATTAGTTTCATGTATGCAGTACTTAACTATACCATTAAAAACGAAATAACTTAAATGCTATGATGTTAAAATTTATTTTTTGACTTTTGACAAATTTTTTAAAATTAAAAAAATATTTTCTTGACTTATGAAAATTTTAAGTCTTTGAGTAAATGTTTCCATTGACTGACTGACTGACCAGGTCAGGTGAGTGGGGCTTCCAGGCGCGTTGCGCCCTCTAGCCCATAAGAAATTTTGCCCAAGACCCAAGAGGAGGACCGAACCCCAGCCGACCAGCCGGTGACACTTTTCTGTCACTTTTCGTAAATTATATATGTTTTCATGTTTTGTCACTTTTCTGTCACTTTTCAGGTAAAAACATTTTTATTATTATATATAAATGAATTTTACAAAACCACCGTTACCGTTCTTTGGAAATAAGAGTAGATGTAAAGATATTATATTGAGAGAACTTAAGAAACTACCGAATGGTCTAACATTTGTAGATTTGTTCGGTGGAAGTTTCTATATATCCCATTTATGTCATACAATATTCCCAGACTCAAAGATTATATGCAATGACTTCGACAACTATATGGACCGTCTCAAACATATTCCAGACACAAACAATATATTGAAAGAGTTAAAAGAAAAGATACCTATAGGTAAGATGGAACGTATACCATTAGATAACAAAAATATTGTGAGAGAGGTTTTGAAAAAAGCAGAATATATAGACTGGGATAGTATATCTGCTAGACTATTATATAGTGGTTCTATAAGAGTTCATGACATTGAAACACTTATGTCAAAAGTTTTATATCTTAACTATACAAATGTTTTCAAAGAGAACATAGAAAATATATTGAGGTATAGAGTTTGTGAGATGTCATTGGACAGAGTTGTATGAAAAATATAAAGACAAGGAAAATGTTTTCTTTATAGTGGACCCGCCGTTCTATAACACATGGGATTTTCAATACCAAGTAGACTGGACTTTGAGAGACTCTTTAGAAACTTTAGACGTTATACATAACCATCCATGCTTTTACTTTACATCCGATAAAAGTGGTTTGGAAACCGTTATGAGATGGTTAGAGGACATACATGACTATGAGTTTATATATGACAAGATAGAATATGAGAGAGGTCCTATAAACTGAAGAAAGTGTCACAATAAAGAAATTTTATTAGTAAGTAAATGTGGTTTGAAATAGGACTACTTGTTTTAGGTTTTTTCCATTGTGTCATTTATTTATTTGACGTGGCAGAAAAGTACAGAGAATATGAAGATGAACCAATGCCTGCAAATGTTCAGTATATGTACTCGTAAGAGATATTTTTATCTAATATTAAATGGACGCACAGAACTTAGCGAATGCGCAGCAACCTGGACAACCAAACCCAGAGAATATTCCAAATGAAGTTAGAATACAAACTGCAATGGCAAACTATGGTCAAGTGCCAACAGATGTACAAATGCAAACTGCCATGTCAAATGACGCTGCGTTAGGTTTGCCACCATGGTATGCAAATATGAGATGGAAAGAGTTTTATACAAACCCTGAAGTGGGATATAAACAACTTTATGCAGATGACGCGAACACAGGAGTTGACCCAGAATATGTTTTCTACCAGAGGAGAAACAGAATGTATGAGCTCCAGTTAAAGAATGCTATGGAACTCAACAGGAAACGTAAGAGACTAGGCGGACATTAGATTTTTACTACTAGTAAAATGGGTTTCTTCAGTAGTATTGGAAACTTCTTCAGAAGAGTTGGAAGAGGTATATGGAATGGAATAAAATCTGTCGGAAAAGGAATTTGGAACGGTGTCAAAAATATTGGTAAAAGGGTAGGTCAGTTCGTTGGTATTATACCTAAAGACCCTGAACCAGAAGAGCAAGCTCCTGTTATACAACAGCCTGAACCTGCACCACAGTCTAGTTGGCAACCAAATCCAACACCTCAACCGTATTAAAAAATTATATTTTTATCGTTCGATAGTAGTTGTATATGAAACTAAGTTCTAAGTAAAACGCATGGTATAATGGAATTATTCTTTTTCTTCCATCTGTAGTAAACCATACTTGAAAGTCTGAAATACTTCCACTCGGCGGTTCATATAACTTTGTAGGTTTTTCGTAAAAAATCATTCATCAGACATAAGAAAGAGTTTTGCGCACCAGAAAATGAAGCATGAACAATAATAGCATCTTGGTCGAAAACATTTTCATATGTTCCATTAGGGTTTTCGACTTCATAAAAGTCCGGGTGTACTGGATATTCTGCAGGCTGATTTAACATCCTCATAAATCTATACCATGCCAAGTTGTTATATTTTGTAGAAATATAAACGTTTTCTCCAAGGTCTTCTATTTTATTGATTTTAACAGTTGCATTTTTCCTGTCATAAATAATATCGAGATGGTATTCTCCTTCGTCAATGTTAAACTGGTTTGCATATTCAATATAGATATCGTTTATTTTTTCTTGAAAAGCTTGAAGAGTTGTTTCTAAGTTTATAAGCAAATTAACTTGTAAAAGTTTTCCCTGTTCAAATTTCTCATACATACGTTTTTCTTTGTTATAGTATCGAACTTCAAAACCGACCGTAAATGGGAAACCATGTATGGCTTCTGAAATGAACTTCATTCTACGAAAGCCAATAGCTTTTGTGACGGATGTGTCTCTTAACCATCTTAATGGGTAGTCAAAACGATAGCCTTCATGCTTTACGGTCTCTGTCTCAAACTTTTGACCGACATTAGTAAAAAGTTCATCTAATGGTTTAGTTGTAGCAACTCTTGAATTTTCTTTTTCTATTGGAAGCATATTTTATCTAGAATAAAAATGTCGAAAGATATTGCTTCCATAAGAGAAATACAACACAACCGACAACTCATTATGCAAGCTCTAAATAAGAACACAACAAACTTTTCAAACTATTCTAAGATATCTGAGTCATTGAAAGAAGGAAACTTAAAACTGACATTAAACCCAATGACAGATGAGTTTCTGTTTCAAGACAAGAAGAACAATACTGTCTGTATAAATCCAACAAAAGGAACTTTAAACGAGAAACCTATAAATGAACTTCTTTTGAAAGCAGATGTTGACAACAAAGCTGACAAAGAATATGTAGACGATGCAATAGCAAAAGAAGCAGAAAGAGCTAACAATGCTTATGCAACAAAAGAACATACTCATCCTGAACTAGCAGACAAAACATATGTTGACAATAAAATGTCAAGTGAAGTGACAAGAGCTGAAAACGAATATTCTAAAAAGACTCATATACATTCTATATCTGATATTACAAACTTACAAGAAACCTTAAACAGTAAAAGTAACGTTGGACATACACATACCATTGCAAATATTACAAACTTACAAGAAACCTTAAACAGGAAAAGTGCCGTTGGACATACACATACCATTGCAAATATTACAAACTTACAAGAAACCTTAAACAGGAAAAGTGCCGTTGGACATACACATACAAGTTTTACAACTTTTACAGCAGATGATATTACACTAAACACAACCTTGCCAAGTAAAGGTCCAACAATACCACCGGCAACAAGTCTTGTAGATACTTTGATATCTAATGACAATAGTATTATGCATCTAAGACAGGAACTCAATGTGCTTAAACAAATTTTGCCGAATCTTATTTACCCGGTTGGCTCATTATATGTTTCAATGAACTCTACCAGACCAGAAGTAGTACTTGGTTTTGGAACTTGGACTCAAATAGTCGACAGGTTTTTGTATTGTGCAAACTCTTCAAAGGAAACAGGTGGAAGTAAAACGATTTCAGGTGCAAATTTACCTGCACACAGTCACTACATAGATTTAAGTACATCTCAAGCAGGTTGGCATAGTCATAGATATGTTGGTTGGTCAAGAATGACAAAAGGTAAAGGATATGATGTTAAAGACGACGTTAAGTTTGCTATAAATTGTTACTGGGATGACACTCAGGGAGAAGGAAACCATACACATTTCGTTTCAGGATATACGCAAACAACGGGACAAAGTAAAGAATACATGCCACCTTACATGACAGTTTACGCATGGTATAGAATTGCTTAGTCGTCATTTTCAACTTCTTTAGCATATTCGTCAGGAGTTGTCTTATATTTGTTAGGAACTGTCTTTGAAAGTATACCACCTTGAACTTTGACAAGTTTGAAACGAGGTCTGGCAATAGTAGTTTTATCTTCTGCTTGCAGTGTGTACATTTTGCCATGTTTGCCTAAAACTTCATAATATTCTCTTGTATACTTTCTTCTATTTTTACGAACACGAATGTGAGTACCTGTCGGATTCCCATTGTTGTCATAGTCAATAGTATTTTCATATGGGTCGCGTTTAGGTATTTCTATTTTTACTTTGTCACCTTTCTGAAGTTTGAAGCCCGGCATTCTTTCTTGTTTGTCTCTTTTGACTAAATTATTAAATATATAGTCTTTCTCTAAGTCAGGGTTGTTTTTCATTTCTTCGGGGGAGTGGTTTCACAAACCTTTTTGTTTACGGTTATTGTAAATATTTAAAACTTGTCTCATCTTTGCCATGGAGAAGTGTCTATATTTGTCGTCATATGACATTTCATTTGCTTCACCACCTTGTGGTTGGTTTAAGTCTCTTAACATTTTTATACATCCGTCAATGACACCAAGAGCAGAATGGTTTTGGTCGACAATGAAATATTGGTTTAGATTTTTTGAACGCAGATAGTTTTTTACATCATCTGATTTGAAAGAACTTTCACAGTCAGATGTCAGTTTTGTTGGATGGTATTTGTCAACGAATATTGTCAAAGCAGTTTTCACATCTAAAATATTTTTGGACCATAATGGTATGGCTTCACAGTATCTTGTGTTTTGACCAACAAATATTAACCAGTATGGTGGTCCATCTGTTCTAACTCTCGGAATGTTTTCCAAGATATCCATAAACCAAGCATTTGGTGTTGAACTAAAGATTTTTATCATGAGTGCTTTCTTTGTCGCTTTAGAAACATAGGGGTCCTTGTTCGGATTCGTCATTTTTACCCTATAAGAAATGGGTTTATTTGGCGCATTAGCAGGAGTTGCATCCAGATTTTTGCCCGCAGTGGGAACAATAGCAGTTAGTATCCCTAACTTGGGTACGGCGGCACTGCGTTCCACCTTACCCAAGTTAACGGTTTGACACTTTACGAAACCGGTAACGTATATTTTACAACACAACCATAACACCAACTTAACCTTAAATATTTACAAAACCATCTGACACATAAATGATTTCACTAACGATTTCACTAACTACTTCACTAACGACTTCACTAACGAATTCCCTACCGTCCTCACTAAATAAAAATAACCTTATTTTTATTTTTTTAAATTTTTTATTTCATTACAAAGACATGTCCGACTACATTTACTATGACTCTTTCCCAGAACGTTTCCGTGAACTATTCAAAAACTCAAGTAAAACTGAGAAACATGCATTTTAACAAAGACAGACCCATTGACGATGAAAGAAACCCCGAATATATTACAATCCCTTATGACGCAAAGTTCATTGCATACATTCCTTATGGTCGCAGAGGAACGAAAACTATTTCAACAAAGAACAAAAATTATTTCTGGAGCGATGAAGAAAATTGCCTTATCTACATAAATGCATACTTAAATAAAGCTACATATTGTACAAAAGAAGGTTGGACTGGATTTGAGCTCTACATATACGACGACGATGGAAACAGACGTTGTGTATACCCATACGATAATATGTACCATTGTTTTCATCAAGCATTAAACGAATACATAGTCAGTAAGGGTCTCATTCCTGTTGAGTAGATATGCTTTATTTTTGTTCTGTCATTTATATAAAAATTAATGATATCACCACCCTCACACGTATGAAAACATAGCACAAAAATAATGTTTATGTTAGAATGTTAGATCTAACACGTTTTCTAACCTCTTTTCTAACCATGTTGAATTCATTACTTTATAACTCTCTTCCTTGGTTTCTTTTTAGTTGCTTTCTTCACGTCTGTCTCCAGCTTAACTGTCTTTCTTCTTCGTCCGTAATGATACCAGTTACTTCCACCAGTCAATGGGTCAAATGGTCTTTCGTAAGGGTTTCCATACATTCCATAGGGACCATACGGAAGAACTACTGGTGGAGAAGAAACATTTTCTTTAGTTCCATCGACTCTATTTAAATGCATTGTTTCACCTTTCATCTGGTCATTAAAGTCTTTTGCATGTTTTGCAAACTCATCGTCCTTTCCTAAAGCATTTTCTGACTCAGTCGCAACCAAATTGGATGCTTTATTTATGAGCCCTATTTTTATTTAATCTTAACTTCTTTGCAACCCAGCCTCCAATCTTCCCTTTATTTGCATCTAATGTCTTCGAAACCCTTCCTCCACTCATTTTATTTACTGCGTCATAAGCCCCAAGTGCTTTTGCTCCAAATGCTAATGCTTTTGTTCCCATTGCGCCTAAAGCTGCCCAAGCTACCATTTACACCATATTAAAATCATCTCTCTTCAATATTATCTCATAAAAGTTCTCTTTACTGGAGAAAGTCAATGAAACATAAACATTCTCATTCATAAACTTCTTTCTTATCTCATCTATACGCTTCAAAATGTCTGAACAATTGCTAACATCTTCTACAACAGTTATTTCATCATGAATGACCTTTAAAAACAAGCTCATTTAATATGCTATTAAAATCATCTCAATAATGAGTCCATCCTTTCCGTCTTTGGGTAGCACAACATCTTTCATTGAAGAAGGTTCAACAAGTCTTATATTAAACTTACTGACAAAGTTTGTTATACTATAATGCTTCGGCGGCGAATACATATAGTTTGAAAGACATAATATAGATTCTTCAGCAAATTCACTTATACTGGATTTTATAACAATGTTCTCACGAGACCAAATACCACCAAATTGAAATCTTGTAAGCAATCCTGCTGAACCTTCAACTGTAAACGTCGATGGTAACATTCCACGAAGGTCATCTATTGACATCGTTGAGTCACTGAATTTAAATATTTTCTTAAAGCAATCGTCATTATCTAACCATGCAATAGCTTTGAAGTTTTCATTCGAATATACATCTGCTTCATTAAATGTAAAACCTGACTTCTTTGCAGAGACGACTTTAAAATCTATTGCATTTGTTTCAAAATTATACGCTATGGTAACTTCTGAAGGTAATGGGTGTCCTTCCGCAGTCAGTTGTTCTCTCACTACCGTTTGAAGCTTTGTGTTAAAAACTTTCATGTCATCTCCTGTGTCTAGGTTCACATACACAGCAATAGGAAAACTATCTTGCTTCTTTGTCTCATCATTATATCTCAAAACATTAAAGTTCTTCAATAATATTGTCCTTCCTGCTGGAATACTTCTAACTGTCTTATTTCAATAGCTTTCTCACCTCCTACATACTCTACCCAGTGTCTTGGATATTCATAAGTATACTGACTTTCTTGAATTTTGGTTGGTTTCATCATAACGTGTTCATAGTATATCTTTATACTCTTGTCAGTTAGACTCGGTGCTATGTTCTGAATATTTCTGACTTGCATTTTTAATGGAGATAAAATGAAGCATTTAATACATGACGTAGATGAAGACATGAATGAAACTACAGACAAACTTAACTCTTCTCTTATTCTTCCTTTCAGTAAGGACTATGAGTTCTGTTCAAATGGTGTTTATTTCTATTGTGGAAAGATGGGGTCAGGTAAGACATTTAACCTCATTCGTCATATACTCATAACAGAGCGTTTAGGTCAAGATTCATATTATGACCAAATCATTATATCAGCAACTTCAGACTCTATGGACTCAACAGCGAAAACATTTATGTCAAAAGTTCAAGCCTCTGTCGTTAAAGTTCCAGATAGCGAACTCATTGAATTTCTTCAACGTTACATTCGACGTAAGAGGAAATATTATGCCATCGTTGAATTTATACAGTCAGGAATGCAAAAGACTTCAGAAGAGATGGAAAGAATTATTGACAAACACCACTTACGTCAATACTCAGGAGTTTACGATATGAAACGACTTACAAACTACATTCTGTCAAAACTTTCAAAATACCCCTTCAAAAAGTATCCTTCAAACACTCTGCTCGTTTGCGACGACTTCGCCGGAAAAGGTTTAGTGTCAAAGCCTGACTCACCATTAGCTAACATCATTACTAAAGTCAGACATTACCACTTAACTGTAGCAATACTTATGCAAACATGGAGGTTTTTAGCTTTAAACATAAAACGTCTCATAACTGACTTCGTTATCTTTCAAGGTTTCTCACGCTATGATATTGAACTCATTTGGAAACAGTCAGGTATAACATTACCTTTTGAAGAAATTTGGGAAGCATATAAGTCTCTCATCTCTCCTCGTTCATACCTTGAGATTCATATCATGACTAATACCATTAAAGTCAAAAATATTCCATGGGAACGACCAACATTGTTTTAAAGTTTAACCTTCAATTGACTGATGGTAAACAAATTCCATGCATCTCTGTCGCCATTTCTGTTAATATTTTTGCTGTCATTCATATCATCCACTTCCCATCCGTTAACTTTTGAGGATATGCGTTAGAATAGCTGTTCTTAAATGAAGGCTTTTCACTTTGAGAGCATAAACTCTATAACTTTCTGCATACTTTATGTTTGAACCTCCTGAGCCATCATTGACATAAATTTTTATAGGCTTCCACCCTTTGTTCATGTTCCTGCTTCTTCCCTTAGCTCTTTTGTTCAGTAGTTCTACATCTTTATACACAGCTCCTGTCTCAGTGAATTCAACAATATTTTCATTCGTTAGCTTTACATTCAAACCCTTGTCGAGTATATTGTTCATTTCATACATATAAAAGGTTTTTATTCTATATGAAATGAGAAGCAAATCCATCTTAGCTGGTGCCGTTAATGTTCCAATTGAACCAACATCAAATGTTGACTCACGAACGACAAACAATATTGTCATAAAGAACTATAGTTCGGAGTGTTTGAAAGAAAAAGAACCAGAACTTAAGTCGGGACCTTCGGTCTTGGCGCATGGCGCCGTGAATTTAAACTCAGCTTCAAACGCTAACGCTACATCAGATGTTCAGTTTAGAGTATCCACCACTGGACCAAATTCTTTCAAGAGAAGCCAACGACAACCCTTACACAAATGTTCAAACAAATCCTTCAGATAACGTAGACCATTACCTTCTTCAGTTATATCAAACTATCTTACTCAAAGACGATAAGAAGCTTTTGACAAATCTTATAAGCAAGAACCAAATAATTCTAACAAAGGAGGACCTTGAAAATGTTATATCACGAATAACAGGGAAACAATGTGTCATTGACTATCTCGACCCTGAAATCGAATGCTGTGGTCAAACGCCACCATTCATGAAAATAGGTAACATCCGCATCATTGAAATACCAGGTACTCCAGGAGTTGAGTTTAAGTATAAATATTCGAACGAGTATACAAAACTTTCAACAGAATATAAATTATGTTTGAAATATGTTTTAGTAAATTAAAGCAGTCAGGAGGGCTCTTGAGCCCATCTTGGCGCTTTGCGCCGTTAGTCAAAAAAATTTCAAGTTAGCAATTTTGTAATATCTATCCAAAACTTCTTCAACAGTATCGAACTCATCTTCATAATGCAAACCTAATCTTATTGACTTGGTGCAGTTCTCACTAACACAATATAGCGCTTTGCGCTCGGCGCCTTTGACGCCTTTTTCTGTTCTCTTGACTGACATAACTAACTCATTTGTTTCATCAAACAGCAACAACCAAAGTTCATGACCTAATACATAACATTCATACTTTATATTTTTAGCTCTGAGTTCTCTTGTAAGCTGTTGCATTTAATATTTTCTTAAAAAGTCTACTTCAACAGTCATTCGCACTGGTGCCTTCAGTTCTACAGGCTCTCCTTGAAAGTCAACTAGTCTGAATTGCATGTCTTTCAAATTATGAGGACTAATGCGAACCCATTTACCTAAATGAGTTGCTATGACAGGAACGTTTGGAATGAACATTGAATTTACTTCATAACAGAAAGACTTATATTCTACTGAACCTTTACTATTAACTCCTGAAATACCTGTGACATTAGCTATTTTTAGACTCAATGTATAAACAATTGCCATAACATACGTATGGAACAGATTTCATCTCAATCGTTTTGTCAATACTTTTCAAAGGAAATGTCATATGGTATGCTCCCAGAAGCAATTGAACTCTATGACTCATTCGTGTTATCTTAAACTCCTTCGCATAACTGAACTTCAAAACTCCTGCAATAAGTTTAACATTCATTAAGTTTTCTTCGTTCTCCTTGTTTATTGTAGTATTTATGAGCGCATTTAACACTCCAGCTAATGTTTCCATCTTATATTCTACATTATTGTGAAATCTTATTTCATGCTTCTTTCCATCTTTTCAAACTCCATGAAATCTGTTTCATCTGTTATGACAAAAGTTGCGATAGTATTGAAGTCAACAACTCTGAAAGCAAGCGCTTCATTCTGAAGACCTAAGTTTTGTTTGTAGCTTTACTGTTCCGTATTCGTTTGGGTCAGTACTTTGCAAATAGAACAACATTTTATTCTCATTAAAATATGACTATTGCTGCATATGCGTATGAAAACAAATGAAGCAAGAAGAGCACATGAACTAGTAAACGAAAACTCAACTTTAACCATTGAAGGCAATGATTTAGTCATTGACGATGGAAAAACTAAAAAAGTCATTGATTTCGATACTTTTAACACTTATGACCCATTCATTACAACAGCAAGGTTCCTATC